GCAAAGCAAAGCGTTTGTGATTCTACTTAACTCTTGCCCTGGCCTGGTGGCTCAGATGCTTGAGCATCATCCCATCCATCAAAAGGTTCTGTGTTTGATCACATATGGGAGGCAATCAGTCAATGCTTCTCTCACATCAATGTTTCTCTCTCTTCCTTTCTCCGTCCTTCCCTCTCTCTCTAAAAAATCAATAAAAAACATATCCTCTAGTGAAGATTACATTTAAAAAATAAATAGTTCAGCTCTTGTCTTAGACATATAAGTCTCTGTGTGGGTTCTTTTTTTAAGTCCGTAGTCATTGACATGATTGCTCTCAAACTGTAGTTAGTTCAGAATTGCCCTTGAGCAGATTATTACATTGCAATTGGCCCAATATTGCTTTCAAATTCTAATTGACATTTCCATATAATTGGAGCATTAAGTATGTTGTTGACATAAATAGAATCTTTACTTACCATCTAACTAGAACCAGAAAAAAAAAAGTATTTTAACCTTGTGGAATGCTGATTTGAACTAGAAAGTATGTTATTTTCTTAATGTTGGCAAGGGATCAACAGGAAAGTTCTATGTAGGGAGCAAAAGGCAAAACTAGGTAGTTAAGACTTTAGAGCAAATCCCCCAACATTTTTCTTTGCCATTGTAGAGATATACACCTATGCAGACAAAGCCAAAAGTAATATTTATCTCATCTAACTGCCACTATGATCTATTCATGGTATTGTTAAGATGGTAAAACTTTCTAAATCCATCTATAGATTCAGTGCTGTCCTTATAAAAAAAAAAAAAAACAAACCAGCTGGCTTTTTTTACAAAAATTGATGCCCTGATTCTAAAATACATTTGGAAATGCAAGGGACCCAGAATAGCCAAAACAAACTTGAAAAAGAACAAATTAGGAGAACTTAAACTTCCTGGTTTTAAAACTTTGTTCACAACTACAATGACCAAGACTGTATAGTACTGTATAAGGCCCCATAGAGATCAACAAACAAGAATTTAGAGTCCAGAAATAAACCCTTACATTTTTGGTCCATTGAATTTTGATAAAGGTGTCAATATAATTCATTTGGGGGGGAAAATAGTATTTTCAACAAATGGGGCAGGCACCACTAGATATTCATATGCCAATTATAAAGTTGGATCCCTACTGCATACCATGTAAAGAAGTTAACTCAAATGATAATTAATCTAAAAACCATATTAAGCTAAAACCATAAAATCCTTAGAAGGAAATATAGGAGTAAATCTTTGTGATTTTATATTAGGCATTATTTCTTAGATACAACTCTAAAACACAAGGAACAAAAGAAAAAATAGATAAGTTGAATTTCATTAAAACTCAAAACTTATACTTCAAGAAAGTGAAAAGACAGCCCACAAAATGGAAAAAATATCTTCAATTTATATATAGGATAAGGAATTTGTATAAGAATATTAAAGAACACTTACAACTCAATAATAAAAATGTAATTAGACATTTCTCTAAAAAAGATATATAAAATGTTCAAGAATCACATGAAAGGATATTCAGCATCATTAGTCATTAGAAAAATGCAAATCAAAAAATCACTTCACACTAAAAAGGATGGCTAAATTAAATTTAAAAAAAATAAAGGAAAATAAGTGTTAGCAAGGACACAGGAAGTTGGAATCTTCATTCATTGCTTATGGGAATATAAAATTATACAGGTACTTTAGAAATAATATAGCAGTTTCTCAAAATGTTAAATACACAGTTATCATATGACTCAACAGTTTCACTCCTAGGTATATTCCCAAGAGAACTGAAAGTTATGTCTACACAAGAAATCCTTTTTCTTAGCATTATTTCATAACTGACTATTATTTCAGATGTTCACAGCAACATTGTTCATACTCAGCAAAAGTGCAAACAAATGCCCATCAGGATGAATGGGTAAACAAAATGTGGTATCCTGTTTCCCCGAAAATAAGACAGTGTCTTATATTAATTTTTGCTCCCAAAGATGCGCTAGGTCTTATTTTCAGGGGATGTCTTATTTTTTCATGAAGAAGAATACGGTACACATTTATTGTTAAATGAAAATAAAGGAAATTTATTACCTGTATATGGTACGGTAGTACGGTAGTTGTCAACACAAACCAGACAAACTGTGAATCCTACAGTATCAAGAATTTACTCATTTATTCAATGACAATCATGTCATCACCGTCTGAAACATCATCATAACAATCCCATTTCTGAATTTCCTGGTGAATTTCTTGTGACTCCATTTCTTTCAGAATCAGTGGACCAAATCTCTCATGTTTAGCAATAGCATTCTGAGACAGAGCCTTGGGGAGGGGGGGTATTTTCGGGGGGATGCCTTATATTTCACTCAGAAGGAAACCTGTAAGTAGGTCTTATTTTCGGAAGATGTCTTATTTTTGGGGAAACACGGTATGTCTATGCAATGAGATACCATTTTGCCATAAAATTGAAGGAAATACTGATACATGCTTCAACATGGAAGAGTCTTGAGAACATTACAAGGACATTGAAGCCACTAACCTCATAATTCTGTTTATGTGAAATGTTCATAATAGGCAAATCCTTAGAGACAAAAATATTGATTTCCAGGTGCTGTGGGGGTGAGGAGCTGTGAGAGAGCAGGGAGCAAGGAGAAGAGAATGAGGGTTAAGAGGTATGGGGTTTCTTTTAGGGGCTTTGAAATTGTTACAAAATTAGTGCTACTGGTTGCAAAACTCTGTGAAAAAGCTAAAGTGACCATATTATACATTTTAAAAGGAAGAATTTAGTCCAGCCAGCATGGCTCAGTATTAAGCATTGACCTATGAACCAGAAGGTCCTAGTTTAATTTACTGGACAGGGCACATACCCTGGTTTTGGACTTGATCCCCAGTGGGGGCTTGCAGAAGGCCGTTGATCAATGATTATCATCATTGATCTTTCTATCTCTCTCTCCCTCTCCCTCTCTCTTCCTCTTTGAAATGAATGAAAATATATATATATTTAAAAGAAAGATGTTAATGTGATGGAATTCTCATGTAAAGGGGGCTTGGCTCTCACAGTCGGGCTGCCTAGGCTGGCCCTGCAACCCAGCTTTGTCCAGAATGTCATCCAGAATGTCGTTCTAATTAGCATATTAGCTCTTTATTATATAGGATAAAGCTTTTATAAGAAAAAATAGTATGCCTTAAAGCCCAGTCAAGCTTTTGGAGGATTGCTCCTGAAGCCCTGCTGACACTTTGCCTGTTACCTCTGGGGGGTCCCAGCCCAAAACTGCCCAGAAAAGCAGGTTCTAAGTCTTTGTCAGAACAGGAGAGATAATGCTTATCTTTTTAATTCATTAAATTATGGGATTTAATTCTTTTAGGGGCTTTGAAATTGTTATAAAATTAGTGCTACTGGTTGCAAAACTCTGTGAAAAAGCTAAAGCATTTCAAAACGAACACACTAGCCCTTGGCTCATTTATCCATTAACATTTCTTCAACAAAGACCGTCACCTGTTATGTGCATAATATGTAGAATGTTTGGTGCATAATATCTACGTGCATAGATGAAGGCTCGCCCCTCATGAAGCTCCCTCTCCTGAGAAAAAGGCAGACAAGGAAGTGAATGACTTTGACATAGATGCTATCTCCAGATGTTCTGACGTGTGATAGTCAGAAATGCAAATATCTTGTTAAATTGCCTTCTGAAGTATTTTTGTAACCTCCCCAATCCTCTCTCTTTTCTATGTAAGCATATATCTAGTCCTTCATATTCATATGCAGGTTTGAAAGCTTTCAAAAGACATTTATCTTTGAGATTTGAAACAACTAAAAAATGTTCTTTCTTTAGTCTTATGGATTTTTCTTCCTTTATCTCTGTGAGGAGGACAAAACAAATATTTTTTAAAAAATCTATTTAGACCAAGTCCTTCACAAAACTACCAGTCCCTAAATGAAATGTTGCTACTCAGTCTAAAAGTGAAATACATTTGTGATTTGTTTTGCTTGCTTGTTTGTTTGTTTGTTTTTACTTAATGCACTATGACAAAATGCCTCAGCTTAGCTGTGTCTTGTTTTCTTCAAGATATTAACTAATTGTCCTTTTTTGTTTTTGAAATGGTGCATTCCGATCCAGTGCTCTGTTTACAGGAGCGTTGCTGGTAGAGTGTTATCTCCATGTGGTTTGTTGTGTCATTGAAGTCTGAGTCCATGACTAAAGCTATTTATTCGTGACCCTGCTTCTGAGGAGTGGTGCATCTGCAGAATTACTCTATTAAAGTTCTGTTCCAAAGCCTAATGGAGGACTAATGCCTTACATAAGTGGGAATCTATATCAGGCCTGTTTTCCAGAATCTATCCTCTCCTCTATGGGACATCTACTCACCTTTGCCACTGTCCTGGGGGAAAGGGCCTCTCTGAGACCCTTACCTCTCAGTAGCAAAGAGTGTTTACCATTTTAGAAGTTAAATGGTTCATTTTGGTTTCTGTGATGATCATCATTAGAATCAAAGTTTCATAGCAAAGGAAGAACTCCAGATTTCTTTTTCTGCAATATTCCTATTATACTTTTGACAGAAGTGACCTTGCCAGGCAACATTTCCCCCCATGGTTTTTGCTTTCTTTATGTTTTAGTGTCACTGGGGAGGGAGGTGCAAGCAAGTACAGTACATTAAAGCTAATACATCACCACCTGTCAATGACTCCTTCCCCTTGGTACCCCTTTACCTTGCTGATTGAAAACATTCAGTCCCTAAAGCTTATAGTTGAGTAGGAGGAAGCTAAATGATGTATTCCTAAGCTCTTAACATATTGCCTTGTGTAAATGGCCCATTTGAGTATTTCAGAAATCAAATGGGAGAGAAAAGAACATTGAATGCCCTGAAAAGATTAACACCTGTTTCCAGTCTTCAGAAAAACTGGAGCATGCTGTATATAACCACTTACTCTCTCATGTTGAGACATTTTATTCAAATTTTCAATTCTATATGCAAAACATCCACATGTTTATGTGTTTGCTTCTCTACAGGATTCCACACAAAACTTAGAAGATGGGGAAGTTGTGAGTGGTGTGCAGACAGACCTACTGACATCGCCAAAAATTAAGGATGCACTGAGGTATTCTCTTCATGTGAATGAAATATTTTCTTTCATTTCTATGTTTGTTTTTTATTGGTTTATAGAGGTTTTAATTTTTAGGAAAGATAAAGATGATTAGAATAGTGGAATGAAACCTATCACAATTCAAAAATTACTTACTCTGTTCTTTCACTTTCTCTATATGGTATGAGAACTTCCAGACAAACATATACAAATGATCCTCCCTTCTTCCAACTCTTCTGCAAGCTGGATATCATAATTGCATTTGCTTTCTCTTGGAACAGCAGTTTAAAGTACACCTATCAAAGTTCAGTTTGGTTGAGTGTTTTACTTTGATGTTAACTCTTTGAATATTGCTTTGCCTTGTGTTTTAACTATTTTTGCAATATTTTATTTGATGTATATAAAATGAATCCAGCCAATCAACCAAGATTTTTCATAATTTTAATGTAACATTATATGAAGTCAGTTGCTCTTATGTTTACTAATACTTCTTTTCTCGGCACTGATTTCCAGTTCTGCCCTAGCTACTACATGGGTTCAATTCCCAGCCATACTGCTTACTAATTCTAATTGCTTAGGCAAGTCACTCATCTCTCATTGCCTTCATTTCTGGGCTATAAAGTAAATAATATTAAATCCATCGGGGGATTGGTATGAAGACTAAATTAATTAATATATGTAAAGCACTTTAAACAGTGCCTGGGTCAGAGTAAGCCCTGTGAGTATTTGCTACTGTTGCTACCACTATAATGTAATTATCATTGTCTATATTACTATTATCATTACTGCCATCATGATTAGTATCATGTTTTAAGTTGCTTTAAATTTTGCATAAGGAAAGGTATTCAATATTTAATAGATGCTTGACTTTAGCATTAGAAGGTGATGCTTCTGAAGTTGATGGTCACTTCATTTAGCCAACAGATTCCTTTAATCCAGTCCAGTTATTAATCAGTGCCAAGCATTTTACATGGCATTGGCTTTTAAAATATGTGTGATCATCCTTTATTATTCTGCTTTATTGTGTGGATTTTCCTCAAGCTTATAATTGATAGCCATGTTACATCGTTACTGTTCATATAGGTTGTTTCTTTGACTAATGAGCTGCACAATAATGAAAATTTGGTACCGAAAATCTCCAGGGCCATGTCTTTTTAGAAGCTTGATAAGATTGTTTTTGGAGGCAGGCATAATGAGTGTAATACTCTTAATTCTGTTTAACTTTAATTTTACTTTTTGTAATGTTTGCTTTTTGAAGTTTGCTAACATCTTGGCTAAACGTTATGTGGATAGCTTTCATAGAGCAAACAATTGTGTGGTTTACAATTGCAGGAACAAATTAGCTAAGCTTTTTCTAGGTATGAGGAACTGAGGCAAATGGAGTTAAGGAATTTAAAAAAGAATATTATTTACCTAAAATTTATCAATACAAGCTTTCACGTGAGTTATATCTTTACCTCTAGGAGGCTGAGGAATTACAAAGTTTAGAACAATTAACCTCTAGAGACTCAATCTGCATCCATCAACCCTTTCCCCAAAGCTTTTGACTTCAGTGTTACCTGTTTTGTGCACCTTCTCAGGTGCGAAGGATCTTAACAAATGGAGTGTATAGCTAGCAGGGAAAACTTGGAGGTAGCAGTTCTAGGAAAAGACACTGGTTCTAGCTGGTATGGGATGATGAAGCAGCAGCTGAAGAGAAATTATGAAGCCATTTAAAGCTGAGTTATCTGGTCAGCATTCTCCAATATAGGCCTTGGGACAAAACAGCATATTTGTTAACTGGATGACTGAATGGATAAAATGCATTGCCCCATAAATCATAAGTATAATTATTAACTGCTTTCCCATTATTAACACAAACATCTTTATTTAGAGAAAAAATGACAGTGAGAGGGTGTTCTACAAATAGTCTTACAGTATCTATCTCTGATGAAGCATTATTCAATTATTTTGATCTTAAGAAGACAATGAAGCAAGAGGTGCCTAGTGGATGATTTTTCTTATATAGAAAACTCCACTTTAGCTTCTCTTTAAAGAGCAAGTAGTGGGTGCCAGAGACCTTCACCTCATTCCTAATTTCTATCTTATTCCTGACCTGACCTTACTTCTTGGCACTCCTCTCCCCCCACTTGCCTCCTCCAGTCTTGCGTCTTTTCTAGCTTAAAACTGCCCTCACCTTTTATCCCCTCTTCTCCTTTGCCTCTAATATTCATTCATTTGGCAAATTACTGGCAGAGCCCATCTGAGAATATCGTGAGCCTTTCCCCATGTTCTTGTGCTATTATCCTGTAATCAATGCTCAAGCATTATTACCTGTCAGATAGATTCTTGCAAAATTTACTAATCCCTGTCTCCAGTACCAATCTCTACCATGTCTTTCCATTTTCTAATTGATCACACATATCACTGCCACTTATATAAAACTAACCACAGCATTTATCACTATGCTCCTTTAGCTATTGGATTTTCTACAACATTGTGAATTTTTCAATGTAGAATTTGACATATTCTGAGATTTGATCTCAAACTAATGGTTCAACCTTATCTCCTACCCACCACAATCAGTCAATCAATCTTTCTCTTCCCCTTCTCTCCTCTTTCCCTCACTCTATCTTCCCTTCCTTCCTTCCCTCTGACCCCCAATTTGTGTGTCCATGCCATTCTGGTTCACAATTTCAGTGCAGAATGCTTTTATTGTGTGCATGCCCCCCATTGCTAACTCTTTGGATTAACAATGTATTTGCCCTTCTCAGTTCCATCTCAAATGCAACCTCCTCCCAGAAGATTTTCCTGTTTCCAGTTTCCCTTTTTGATCCAGTTATCCTCTTCCTCTGAGTCTCATGAGAAAGTTCCCCCGATTTGAAAAATGTCATAGTGGTTTAAAACCACTGATCTGGAATGCAGTAAATTCCAGTTTGAGTCCTGACTACCTTGCATGACTGGTATGATGTTGGACAAATGATTTAGCCTCTCTAAGAATCAGTTTACTTAGCTATATTATGGGAGTGATGTAAGCATTTACACATTTGATATGAGTACATGTTACAATACCAAGCATGCCTCTAGCACAGGCATCCCAAGTTAGAGCTTCCTTGCTTTCACTGAGAACACACTGTTACTGCTGCTTCCGTTTTATTGCTTTGTATTCTTTTTATTGCCTTTCTTAACCTGCCTCTTAGATTATGAACTCCTCAGGCTTTTGTTTTTTTTCTGATAGAATTTCCCCATTGGAACTACTCACTAGTTGTTGAATTCAAGTAAATTAAGTGAATTCCACTACCATCAACAGCAAATTCCTTGTTAGATGTTTACTCAGTATATTTGCATTAACAGAACATTTACATCAGGTGGGCTTCAGTCCCGTATGCAAGCTATTCTGGGATGTCTATCTCCGAAGTCCTTGTACATGATAGACTTGGGCATCAGTCCCTAAAGACCACCAACTGCTGCCTTCTATCCACCTATCACAGTCTCTGTCTTCTCCCTCACCGTCAGCAATCTGATCATGAAGAAAGGTTCCTCAGCCCTAAAGTATTTGAAGATTTATTTAACAAGACCTACAAAGGAAATAAGTTGAGAAAAGTTGTAAAGCTTGTAATAGATTATTCCTTTTTAATCCACAAGCTTACTTGTTCCCTCAGAACGTTCAAATAATCATACTAATAGCTGATAGTTATTGGTCCCCTTGTATATGCCAGATACTGATATATGATGTATATGTTAGCTTCTCTATCTTTTTCCTTTAAAACCAACAACTCTACTAGAGATTTATCTTAATTTCCCATTGTACAAATAAGGAAACATGCTTTTGGTTTTAATTTAAATGATTTACTACTCAGACACCTGACTTAACATCACCACTAGGATATACTTGCTATCTAATTTCACAAGTGAATCATGATTTCCTTCTGAACCAAGATGTCTCCCCATCTCTCCCCCCATTCCAGTCTCCTCCCTAACTGAGTTAAATCATTGTAATGTTAAAAATGCTGTCTATTTGCCTGGAGTGAAGAAATTAGACCTACAGCTCCTGTTGTATCTTCTCCCTCAAGCTGTACTCCTCTCTTCGTGGTGGAACCAAAGGCAACACTTTCCATCTAGTTCTTGCAAAGCAGCTCATTTATAACCACCGATTCTGCATCTCCACCCGTCATTTTGTCCTAAAGTCTTACAAAGGTAGCAGCTGGTTCCAGTGATTATTGAATCAGTTTTGTCAACTGGATCTTAGAATGTTTATCTTGTTAATACTATTGGACTTAATGTGTTGTAACTTTCTGCTTCTGTTTAAGTATGTCATAGAAAGCTGTGTCAACTTAGCTATTTTTGACTGTAGTGAAATCTTTTGACTTTTGTTTAACTGGAGTATTTTCCTTTACCCCACAGTTCGTTTTTTGTCTGTTTTCACAAGTGGCATCTAATCCTGTTTTCCTTTTACTGATAGGATATTCCTTTCACCTTATTTTCTACATTTTCCACTCTTAAACCCCTCTTCCCATCTATACATATAAAAGCCTAAGCAACCAAATGGCTGAACTGCCGGTCAATTGATCACTATGACACACACCAACTACCAGGGGGTACGCGCTCAATGCAGGAGCTGCCCCCTGGTGGTCAGCATGCTCCCACTGCAGCAGTGCCCCTCAGCTGACTGAACAGGTGCCAGATGCAGGGCTCACAGATGGCCACCACAGCCCCGAGACCACAGCGGAATGGCAGTGAGCTTACTGAGAGGCAGTGGCATGCACAGTGGGGCCTGGGTGAGCAGGAGCAGCAGCATTTTTGGACTGCCGATTTGGGCCCGATCCCTGCAGGCTATGCCAAAGGACCCCACCAGTGCATTCGTGCACTGAGCCTCTAGTACATAAATAAATATAAGCATATCCTGCTCACTGGTCCCTGAACTCTGATCCATAATTTACCTAAACAGATAGCGTTGATAGCATATTTTCACTCTATGAGGTACTGTGTCCAGCCCTACTTGCTATGTTTATCTTCCACAAATGATGTATAGAGAGATTTCTATGGAACCCTATCAAATTTATATAATACTGAGGTTTGGATTTTTTAAAAATAAATAAAAATGTATGTACTAGTCTCTGAGGCTCCCTTTTTTAAAATGCGTTTCTTTCTATCTTGAAATGAATAACAGATAACAATTTATAAAGATCATGGTGGGCCATGGTATGCATAAAGCTTACAATGCTTGTCTATATTAGCTAGATCAAATTCTCTGTAAGTGCCTGCATATTACAGTCAATGGAATTGAAAGTCTTGTTTTTTTCTAATATAAAAACATTTTCATAGTAGTAAGTTAACAGTTGTCAAATATCCTTCTAGCCAAAAAGTATGCTGTCCTGTATAAAGATAACATAAAAGTTCATTCTGAAATGTTGAAAAATGAAATCTTATAAAGTAGAAGTGAACCTTAAAAAATGCATTCCCCCCAAAAGTTTTAGTATTTGAAATAAGATTGATTACTTTAACAGTATAAGATTTACTTTATTAAGTGAGTATAAAAATACAGGACTGATAATCATTAAAGAACAGACATCAATATGAAACATAGAACTTAAGTTTACACAGGGGTTTTGAGGGAGGTAGAGAAATATTTGCGAAAGAGAAAAAATGAGAATCCATAAAGGCATTCTAAAACTTCTTAAGCTGAAATCTTGACGTCTATACTAGACTAAACACTTGCATTCCAAAAACCTTTATATAATACATATGAGTGCCATCTATCAGCATGTGGGTACTTAATACATTTATTAGGAAAGATAAGTGTTATGCTCTAAGTGCAAAAGTATAAAAGTACATCGTAAAGGTTGAGATAATAAAGTTTCAATGGTTAAATGAGACTTTAGTCTCTGTTTTTTAAAGTCTTTAAACCAATACCGTAACCTTAGAATGTGAATGTTTTGGTCTAGTCTTCCTCAAATACCTCCAAATGCACTATATATCAGTTATTATATAAAGATGATTGCCTTGTGGTCCATTAAAAGCTATATAACATTCTCTGCCCACCAAACAACTTCTATTCATGACTTACAATGCATCTCTTTGCCTCATATTTTATATACATATATTCATATAATGTCCATATTCTCACACAGAGGGTACAGAGCAGAATCTATTTTATCCCATGATATTATCACTCTAAGATTTGTTTTGTTTCTAACTTTCATTCCAAGCATCTGCTATAACCTGCTTGACTGAACAAGTTTTAAATATGTTAGCAATATCTGAGCAAAACTCATTTGAAATTTATTATCAGATTTGAAATTCCATCATATTCCCACAAATGTTGGAAACTGACATGCTCTTTTTTTATTTTTTGCTGTTCTTAATGATAATAGATTTGCAATGAAAACACATTAAAAATTAAGCCTAATCCTCTGATGAGAATATATTTAATGTATTTATTTTAGATTGCTGATAATTTAGAGAATATTTCATGCAGAGAGTGCATCAGGCATTTGCTGTCTTAATGCTGTTCTCAACTTTACAGCAAGAAGCCAAATTTTAACATTTTCAATTTGGAGCAGGAATGCATTTGTAAGCAGCTGTAGCTCTTAATTTGACATCTAGTTTCAGGTCATTTTCATGTAAATAGAAAACAATAGAAACCTGCTTACAATTTCCATAACTGGGATGTTTGCTTTAACTTTATCATTTTTCCTCCTGGCAATTTTATTTTCCTCTCTCTGGGATTAAAAGAGCCAATAATTGTTCTCGGTTATTATTTCCCATCTATATAAAAACGTGTTAGTTCCACATTTTATTACTCAAAAGCACCCAGGGTCTTCTATATTTCAGTCATACACACTATCCGTTCATGTTTCTAGCTCCTCCTCTCCTTAATCTGGAGTAGGTTAGTCAGGTCAGCCTTTCTATTTCTTTCTGTAATACATTTTCTTCAGGCTTTATAATTTTTGTCTACCTCTGAAAAATGTACAGAGGTGAAAATTTGGAATTGTTCTATTGAATACAACTGATGCCTTATTAGAAGGCAACTTTAAATTTTGACTTATAATGCTTTGGACATGGCCATATATATATTACCAACTGTGGCTTCACAGTTGTAAAATCTAATTCTTTGATTTTTCTATTAAATACATATTTTATTTCATTTTTCCTCTGTTTGGGGGGGAAATCATACTTCATGATTACTCAAAGCTGTGCTTAGTTCTATGTATTTTACCATCTACACGGTAATTTTCAAGTGTGTCTCAATGGGGAAAAATTTTATTTTTTTGCACATCCTTTTAAATATGTTGATTTATGTAGATTAAGTAGGAAGTTATTTTTGTAGGTAGTCATTTCCATTTGTTCCTCTTCTAGGAGAAAAAAATAAGAAATCAGAAACTCTTTGAAGCATTTTATTTCCCGAATCTTCTGAACATGATCAGTAAATCATGCACTCCTTTGATTCTATCTGTGCTGTTAAGTTTATAGAAGTTGATATAATCCTAAAAATCATTTTTTTTTAATGTGCTTCATCTGTATTTTTTTAGCAGAGACTCATCTGTGTTCTTTTTTTCTGCCCCAGTGATCTGACCAGAACAGTGGAGATTTCAGCTGAAGGAGGCCCCCTGGGAATACATGTAGTGCCCTTCTTTTCTTCTCTGAGTGGAAGGTAAGATGCTCTTCTTCCAGCAGAAGCTCACACTAATGAAAGCCCTGACCAGAGCTCATTTGCCCAAACATTTCTCCGAAGAGGATTAAGTGTGTGTCTTTGTTATGCAGATGGACACCTCAAGATAGTACTTCTGTTGGCCACTTATGTGTTAGAAAGAAAAGGAAATCATTTATTTCTAAGATGCAATGAAAAAGAAAAAAAAAATCAATCACAGTTCCTGATTTCATAATTAATTATGAAGTACTCTCTTTATGTATTCTTATCAGTAGTATGTAGTAAACAAAATCCTTAGAAGAGATTTGAATATATTGTTAGATGAATATTGCAACTGAATTTTTTCATGTTATAAAATACACTTCAACAAGTGAATATAGTAATTCCAAACTGATATTTTTTAAAATATTTTTCAGGAATATAGATTTTTAAGATAATAAATATTATAACATGTAATCAGATCAAAAGCTGTGCATGTTCTGTTGATGTTAGGTATAGTAGCAAAATGCTATCATACTATTTACTTTAAAAATATGAAGTGTGATCGATTACAAATAATTAACCACATCCTTTAAAAATTTTACACTGGTGCATGTTAATTTAGATTGTGTCGGCATGTATTGAAATGAATGTCTAGGATATTCTAACACATGAATGTGTAGGAAAAGTTCAATTTTAGATAGAGCAATGGAGTGAGAGCAAGTCCGGAGATCTGGTTTTTGTGCGACTTAGAGAAAATCAACTGACTTTTCTCCTCTTTGGTCTCCTGAGCTGAAAAAAAGTGTTCTGATTTTTGATGATGCATTTAACTTAAGAAAACAAATATAGCAAACTACTTAAAATCATGTCATATGAAATACTGATTTTCTTTATGTTTTTGAGAGTCCTTGTCAATACAAATCTAAAGGCAGTATCTTGTTGAAAAGTGACATAATATCTAATACTAGTTTTATATGGTTGTTATAACAGTATTAATATTAGCTCTCTGATACACATTTAATTTCCATCAGTATCCAGTTGGATAGATTTCAGCTTAAGAGACCAAAGAGGAGAAAAGTCAGTTGATTTTCTCCAGGTCGTACAAAATCCAGATCTCCGGACTTGCTCTCACTCCATTGCTCTATCTAAAATCGAACTTTTCCCAAAGGTTATATAGTATTAATTTACTGGTTCCGAATATTTATTCAACTCAGGCTGCCATATACAGGAAGAGCAGGTTTAGGAATGATATTTTGGTTGGCATCGTTTTCAGCAGGTAGCCATCTGCTACCTGTAATTGCGAAGTCATCACCATTTTTTCTGCAAATAACAGCTGATGCCAAGCTGTTGCCAGAATGGATGTTCCTGAAAAAGAAATGAACTGAAAAACCAGTGGCTCTTATTGTCTCATTTCCTGTATGTGCTAATAAGCGTGTTTATAAATGTTACGGGTGATGGCACAGGACAAGCGGAGGCTGGTTTTGATAGACAACGGGTGTATTTACCCAGTTGTCCTGAGAAAGTCTAATGGCTTTTGGCAGAAGTGCAGGGGTAGAGCTTTGTGAAATACCAGAGGGGTTACAGTACAGGCCCTTTAAGCTTAATAAAGCTGGGCTAGAACACACCATCACCCCAATGTCCAAAACGTGAGGGAATCTACAACGTGACAATCAGCACACTTCATTTTCAATGGTTTGGAAAACAGGTTGACCCTCTGGACCAGCAATCACCTTCTCTCACTTCAAGTGAGAAAAACTCACTGGAATTTATTGATTTCCTCCCTTCTCCCTCCTTTTCTCACTTCTCTACCATAAGTCTCGTAGAATAGTGGAAAGAGGTTTGGGCTTGGATTCAGAACACTTGGATTCGAATTGCGGTGTTCTCTTTTTATAACTTTGAGCAAGTCCCCTCAATTTGCCTCTTGTGAATACCTATCTCACATCAAGGTTATGAGGATTAAATGACATTAAAAATGTGAAAGCCCCTTGTAAAGCGCACACCATATGAATGTGTAAATGGTCAGTATTATTATTATTTTGGCTAAAACAGAAAAGCTTAGTTCAACAATGAACTTTTATAAGTTCATGGTCAACTGTTGAGTAACTTAGTGAAATAGTTGTGTCACTTTTTTCTGGATATCCACCAGTATTATAGAAAGGAAATTTAATTTTAAAACATAAAAAAAAATAATATGGATGTGGAGACATGAGCCAATAAAAGTTAAGAAGTAATGAGTACAGGCTGAAAAAGCACACTTAACTCAACCCATGTGTCTAGATGCAACTGGGTATAGAGCGTGTCAGACAAGTGTCTGACTTCATAACGCCATATGGTTTCGCTGTGTGAGAGGGGGTGAGGTGAGCTAAGGTCAGAGTGGTATACTTAGTTCTTAATTTCCTTTCATTTATTGGTCTGTGTCATTATTTTAAATTAGAATTTACATTTAATTATTTACTAGGACTACTGTAATTGGCTTTGCCTCCAATTTTTTTTTTCTTTTTCTTTTTCTTTTAGAAAAATACTGCCACACCTGTTGTTGAATTAGAAACCCAATCTAAGCTAGAACACCCTGAGTACAACATAGTGGCTGTTGTATTAGATAAAGCCTCAATGGATTCATTAGCTATCACAGCACAGGGTGCTGAATGCTGCTTGTATGGAGAGCTATTGGCTTGCACAGTAAAACAAACAAATATATATATGCTGAGTTTTGGCAAGTAAAAAAGCAATGTAATTTCATTTTTTTTTAATCAACATGGTTTTGTTTTATAAGTGAAGTCACTGAATCTCTGATTTTTAGTAAATAAAAATACTATAGCTTATTTTCATAGTAAGGACAGCTAAATATGAGAGAGAAGATGGAAGGGATGGGTAAAGAGAGGCAAAAATGTGAGAAGAACTGATGTGTAGATCAAAATGCTAAGCTGGGAGAGTGGCAGAGGCCATATGATACAGTGGGAAGAATGTGAGGCAGCTAGGGAAAGGGTGGGTTAGTGCCTAAGTGATTCTCAGAAGACCAAGAAGCAATTGCTACCCCTTTGATTCTTTGGAACTATGGATTTCAGCCTCCTTTATCACTGCTCATTAATGCAAATTAGCCTGTTTATCTCAGCTTATAACTCCTCGACCGCATTAATCTATATCCTGAGAGTCTTGGTCTCAAATGAGACAGCTAATACAGCCCACCAGTTTGGGGCAAAGTCGATTATCACTCTGATTCTTTTCTGAGTCTCTCATACTATGCATGAAATCAAACTGGAGGAACCTATTCCTTCCAAGGAACAGAGAAGCAGGAATGGTTTGCCAGGGACCAAACTCATAAAAATCAGGCAGTTTTACTTTTTACCAAAATTGCCTCTGACACATGGCTTTTAGAGTTGGGCTTATACTGTCAATAAATTTTTCATGGAGAGTTAGATTATTTAGATCAGCAAGGGTCACATAGCATGCTCCAGCTGTAAAATGCCAGCTAAATTGCAACCCAGTGGCCTGAAAGAATTAATTCATCTCCCAAAATGTGAAATTAAATCCTACGGAGTAGCATTACATGACTGATGATGTACTGGATTAAATTAAAGGAAGACTTGAATGCTTGTTAAAAAAATATCACTTACATAAACTAGTTTAGAACCACATGTGAGTCTCCTAATGGATCATGTTATTGTGCATCCACCATAACAAAACTCCAAAATGTGAACTCTCAGAGAGTTGTTGAGTTAAGGAAAGAAACACTAGTTTGTTCTATTTCTTTGCTTTTATAGTTTTGCATGCCCAAGAGTTCAGCTTTTAATATTATGTTAGATTAAGGTAGGATTAGTGCCTTAAAAATATTCCTTTGAATCTAAGATCCTTTATCAAATAGCAACCCTGGCCCCTTTCCTCCACACAGAATGAGGTTAAATTACTGACCTCCTGGAACTAGGGAGGGAAGCGTAACACCTCACCACACACTGAGCCTGTGACCCGGGGCCTTCCCTGAATGGGTGGTATAACTGTTTGCGGTCCTCTCTCTTCCATCTGCATACTATATCCATCCAATATGTTTGCAGTAGAGATCTGAGTGTCACTGCTGTGCTTCTCCTATTGTCATATCGAGATGACATGCACTCGTTCAGCCAGCTGAGGCCCTGGCGGCAGAGGCTCCAGTTTGTGGCTGTTCCAAACAGGAAGATGGGTTTTCTCCTCCAGTTCCATTAGCAGAGCCCTTTGTCCATGGCTGACCCTATTATTCACCCATAAAGCATACTCATATCTTATTCAGATTTGAGATGTAATGCAGAGGGGTTATATACTACTAGCACACGAGGCCCCTGTAGAATGAGATGATGCAGAAAAACAGGAGGACCTGGGAAGAAGAGATGGAAGCTTCCCCACACCTGGCAAATTCCTCGTGGAGAAGGTCTTTCTTCCTCACTCTTGGTTACAGCTAGGACCCTGACATTCCACAAGGAACAGGGAAATCCTCAAATGAGAAGTATCTATAATAGACATGAATTTAATATCTTCTGGTTTTCTACATAGGTACAACTGATATGTAACATATTTACACACACACACACACACACACACACACACACAACATCCATATGTATAAAAGCCCAGCGACCAGAACAGCAGAATTAACAGAATGACCAATGGCTATGATGTGACTGCAGCAGCCAATTAGCCTAATCTGGGCCCAGATTGCCCCTGCCTACCTGGTGGTGGGGCCAGTTGGCCAACCACCAGTGGCCCCTCTCCCCTGATGGCCTGGCCCAATGGGCCCCCCATTGGGTGGGCTGGCTGGATCCCACCCATGCATGAATTTCTGCCTCTAGTTTATATATATATATATATATATATATATATATATATATATATATATATATATATATATACCTAAGTGACCAGTCAATCAGTTGCTGTGACACACACTGACCACCAGGGGCATATGCTCTGTGCAAGAGCTGCCTCCTGGTAGTCAGTGCATTCCCACAGCAGGAGCCCCATTCAGCTGACCGAGATGAGCAAGAACGGCTCCTCTCCAGCCACCTGCCTATTCAAGCACTACTACATTCCTCGGGGGGATGTTGGATTCTGGTTTCAGCTAGATCCCTGCAGGCCATGCCGAGGGGCCCCACCGATGCACGAATCCATGTACCAGGCCTCTAGTATACATATAAAATTCAATTCTTATGTTTTTATTGCTGTAGTTCTTTCTCCTTTCCTTTCTTTTCCAGTTCCTTCTCTTCCTGACTTTAAGCCACAACCATAAAACCCCAGGAGCCTGGCTGAAATTTCCTCTTCCCAAAGCCCTTCCTTCCTCACAGCACTGCCTTGCTCAGAAGCAGTGGGTGGGGGTGGGGGTGCCACTCCAACCTTATCGGGATAAGTCCATTGGCATGTATTCAAGGCCCCTCCACTGGCCGCCCCAACTAGTGTTAGCTCCCACTCTGCTCCTCACACAAGGACAGCTTACACAAACACACAGCGCTTATCCTGCCTTTTTGTTGATTCTCTTTCTCCTATCCAAATTCTACTCATTCTTCTGGCCCAGTTTCATCCCACTTTCTCCCCACATCCTTCTGTGAAGGATGTGGGCTTATTGATAGTGTCCAGATTTTTAATTTCTGCTTTGCTCTAAGCGTGTACTGACCAATTGCCCTGGCCCTACAACCTTGTCTCGTATGCCTCCCTCCTGAGCACATAGAAGACACGAGGCAGATGTTTGACTCCATTCATAGATGGGACCAAACTGCCTTCTAAAAGGAGCAGTAAGATCTGTGCTTAAATGTTGACTTTTTAAGATGCAAATTATTGAAACAGATAGTAAGACTGCATAAACATTACAGTGAATAACTCATCCTCTCCTGTTAATGATCAAGTTGCCTCCTTGGCACTAACTATGTAATGTAGTCAGCTGCGATGGCCTCCTCCAAACCACCAGCCTTTGATATCCTCAATTGCACTTAGCCACCGGAGCCTTTTCTAAGTTTCCCATAAGCACGAGAAATGGGATTGTAGATTTATGTACCCTGGGTAGGCATTTATGTCTATTTGTCTTGAAGGGATTTTTCTCTTTTAAGTGAGTTATGTTTTTTGTCCTTTTTTTTTCACTTAGGATTTAAATAACAGACAGTTACTTGAATATAAAGCATCCTTTTTTTCATAAATAAAAATTAGTCCTTATTTCTGAATAATTGCAAGTGGAGAAATAATGAGCATATTATTATTCAGCAGTTGCACTTCAACCTAAATTTTGCATTTAGGATTCTAGGACTCTTCATCCGCGGCATTGAAGAAAACAGCAGGTCCAAGCGGGAAGGACTGTTTCAGGAGAATGAGTGCATTGTAAAGATCAACCAGGTGGACCTCGCAGACAAAACCTTTGCTCAGTAAGCATTGTTTTTATCATTGTTTTATTTACTGTATGATGCCTAGAATGTTTACAATCATTGCTGAGTTCATTAGGATCAAAATTCTAGGTAGAATTTTAATCAGTTTCCTTTGAGTGACCCAAGACTACCCATTTTTAATTGCAGCTTATGTTATAGCCCCAGGAATGAATGGTAAACTGTGGAATGGTTTCAACCTTCCCAGCTGGTTGTCTTTCTGGGACATCTATAGATGGGTTTGTTTTTCCTGGGATATGGGTCAGTTAAACTGGTATTTAATGACTCTTCACAGACTGTTAGTTCAGCTTTTTAATTAACTTGCTTGGTATCTGTCGTCTTCCTTCAACTAAGTATCTGTGCAGACTCACTGAATAATAGAAACAAAGAGGAGAATTAAAATACCCCCCCAAGAAATAATTTCTCTGTGCATGAAAATGTGATGGGAATAGGTTTGTTGAGTAAAGATTTAGAAGATGTAGCAGTCTACATGTATTTTTTTAAATGTATGCTGGAATTGCCTTGGGATTCTGGATCAAGAAGATAAGTGTGATAAATACCTCTTAGTAATCATCACCAATCTCTTGTTTCTGATCAAAATAATTCATAATATGTCCTCCCTGTGGCCATTAGTTCCCAGTATAGTCTGTGGAAGGGGGAGGTGGGCAGTGGTTGTGAGTTTAAGGAGCATCAAGCACTGGTTGCTTTGGAAGAAAAGGAAACATTAATTGTCTATTTCTGAAAATAATGAATAATAGATAAAATTATAGTCATTATTAATAATGATATTATTTTTATAAACCACTGTCTATTACAAGGAGTTGATAAGTATGTAAGGCAGACATTACCATCCTTATTTTTGAGAAGTGGAAATTGGGGCTCACAAAAATTCAGTATGGGGTTAGTTGAGAACAGAAACTGACTCCTGGTCAAGGAACTGGCCAGGACACTGGGTTTGTCCTTCCTCCACTACCCTCATGGGCAATTCAACACTTCAGAAAGATGAGGGTGAGCAGATGGCAGTGGGAATTATGATTCATTATTATTTGGTGTGGCTGCTGGTAACAGAGGACTGAAATAAAAGTAGCTCATGCAAGATTTACATTCACTTTTCTAAGGAAAAAAAGTATGGAGGTGGCAGTCCAACATTGATGTTGTGGGTCCACCATCATCAGTTTAGCAGGTGTCTTCCCTCTTTCTGCTTTACCATTCTTCTTGTGTTGCTGCCACTTTTAAGCTGTGTCAGGAACACAGGATGGCTGCTGGAGTTCCCTCCATCACTTCTGAGTTTCAAAAAATAGAAAAGAGAAATGGCACAACAAAAAAGTCTCTGCTTCCTAGATAATCCAATTTCTCTACCCCTTCACTTGTGTCTCATTGGCAAGAAAAGCTGGGAAAGAGAGTAATTTTACCTAATCATAAGGCATAAGGAAGAAGAAGAAAAAGTAGTCAGAAATTTGAGGATAAATATAAAGTGCTAAGACAAAAAAGTAAAAACTATATGTAGTCTACAACTGAGTGACCAGAATAAACAGAAGGGTGCATATGGGATTTAAACCCACTGTGACATTCGGCTCAGCCCACACACCTACCAGATGTCTCTATGAGGAAACGTTTGTGTCAAAACTGAACTTTGGGAACACAACTCATGGTACAGAAAACCTATACTTTAGAATGAAGTCCTAAAAGGGAATTAATTGATCATCTGATCAATATAAAAAATGATTTTACCATTTAAAATTAAAGCTTGCTTTGCTATTTACTTCAGTATTCATTACTGAATTGATTTAGAAATGCTTAAAAGCTGTGGTTTCCTAGACAAATTACTTAAACTCTCTGAGCCTCAATTTTTTCAGTTTTGCAAAATGAGAGCTAATCTTACTGAGCTAACATGGTCACTAAGAAGATTGAGAAACTTGCCCAGCCAGTATGGTTCAGTCGTTGGGCATGGACCTATGAACCAGGAGGTCACTGTCCAATTCCTGGTCAGGGTACATCCCCAGATTGTGTGCTCATTCCCCAGTTGGGGTGTGCAGGATGCATCCAATGGATGATTCCCTCTCGTTATTGGTGTTTCTATCTCTTCCTTGCTGTTTCTGGAATCAATAAAAATATTATATATTCTTTAAAAAAAAGAAGATTGAGAGACTAATGCATATGTAGCTTAGTATAGGACACCTAATGGGCAGGACATGTGTGGTAACTAGTATTTGTTTAGCAAAGTCAAGCTCGTTTAGTAGAGATAGCATCTCCTATGCCTATGCTGCTCCCATCACGGTGATGCTGGCGGGCTTTAGAGATGGCATTGCTAACCTCAGTTTTTTACACGTTTCCTAACTTTCCTTCAAGGGCTCAAGACGTCTTCCGCCAGGCAATGAAAGCTCCCTGTGTACTCCTCCACGTGCTTCCCCCTCAAAACCGTGAACAGTATGAAAAATCAGTCATTGGACCTCTTAACATTTTTGGTAACAACGATGGTGTTTCAAGAACAAAGCCACCACCTCCTGTCCACACAAGATTGGGAATAAAGACCATGAATCTCACTGGAACAAGCAGCCCCGAAGAAGATGGGTCGCCTTCCCTGCAGCAAAGCAAGAGCCCCCGAGTACCAAGAATAGGGAGAAAGCCATCCTCTCCCTCACTCTCCCCTCTCATGGGGTTTGGCAGCAAGAAAAATGCAAAGAAAATTAAGATTGACCTTAAGAAAGGTAATTATTAAATTATGCTTAATAGCATTCTATTATTGTAACATGTAAAATTGGTTAAAAGAAATGCATTAAGGCTAATTTTGTTAATTCTCCCTTCATTTAATTGCATCAAAGAAGGGATTTAACTGTATACTTGGGTAACAAATTTCTGAAAACTGTAGTACTTTCTTATTCATCTCTTCTTGTGAAGAGTGTAGGTTATTTGGAACAAGAAAATAATGGAGACATGCTGGGGAATGCAGAGAATCATTGCAAACTTGATAGACACAGAGCAATATTGTAGCACAAGTTAATACTAAATAGACACCAAAATTCAATTGTTCCTGTTTTGAGCAAGATTCATGACTTTTGAAACAACCTTAGGCCAAGCTCAGAAAACATATGTTTTTGGTTCTCTAACATAGTTTGGGACCAGCAAAAAAATTTATTCCTCAGAAACCAAACATGTGACAATTAGTCATATCACTGATTCAACATTGCAAGCAATTTTTTAAAATATACTTAATTTCAAAGGCATGTCTAACCTTTTAATTCATCTTTTTCATTCCTTTTATCCATTTCAAATGCAGATCAATGAGACTAGATCATGGATGTACATATATCGATATCTTTATGTAATATTATCATAAACATAGACATTCATGCATTTCCATGCCTTTGTTTATTTTGTAACTTCCCTTTCCCCACTGCAGCCTTTTATAATAATATGTGATTTTTAAGACTCAATTCAAAAGACACCAAGATCTCATAGATTCTTGTCTAAATTAGCAGATAATTTAATGATCATAAGTAGTTTTAGGATGCTTATTAACATATATACAAAACAAATAACATGTACCTTGAATAGAGATTATTCTGAAAGATCCTCCAGTCAAAATTGCATCCTCCTATAAGAATTCTATACTGGGAAGAAAATGTATTGACTGAAAAGCACAAATAGACCCGTGTGCTTAGCAATTGGGCTTTTTATATAAATGCATAATTAGTGCTTTTTGTACAAGTTACCCAATTGCGTGTAGATATAGGACTATGTGCTTTGAGGATTGATGAATCAAAAGTAGAATGTGGCCTTAAAAAATCCATCAGAAAGCCTTGATTGTAAAAATAAAGAATATAACATCACAGTTGTACTTTGGGAAGATTAATCTGACAGTAAAAAGATATACCAAAGAAGAAGCCAAACAACAAAGACTCAACAAAGGGTGCATTGCAGGTGTTCAGATATAATGTGTATTCCTTAGTAGTTGGATGTAGGAGGGACAAAAGAGAGAAATTACAGTTATTGCTGAGAGTTTCAGGCAGAGTAGCTTGCATTATGGAGATGCTATTTCTAGAAATTTTAAATTCATGTAGATGAGTATGTTTGAAAAGGTCGGGATCTAGATCAGAGAACAGGTTCATAGTGACTTTTGAAGAGCTGGTAAAAGTATGCACATGGTGATTTCTAGAATGCCGACACCAGAGAGATTAGAGCCAAACAAGGACAGTTAGGTGTCATTTATAGGAGAAGATAGTTTGAGCCAGGAGCTGGGCAAAGCAGAGAGTCTGGAGGAAAAATGGTTCCAGGCAGGTCCTTGGAGAACATCTATTGCTGTGGTAGAAAAGTGGGTAAGAAAGAGAAGGACAGATATGATATGATCAGAGTGGTAGGAAAATAATAATAATAATAAAAAGATACAGAGACCAATGGGGACTTATTTCAAGAAAATTGTTGCTTAAAAAATGTCAACAGCTGAAACCGGTTTGGCTCAGTGGTAGAACGTCGGTCTGCGGACTGAAAGGTCCTGGGTTTGATTCCGGTCAAGGGCATGTACATTGGTTGCGGGCACATCCTCAGTGGGGGGTGTGCAGGAGGCAGCTGGTCAATGTTTCTCTCTCATCGGCGTTTCTGGCTCTCTATCTCTTTCCCTTCTTCTCTGTAAAAAAAATCAATAAAATATATTTTTATTAAAAAAAATGTCAACAGTAGAGAAGGGGAGAAATTAAGAATAGGAAGAATTAATGGATATACTCACAAGTAGATCACTGGTGTTAGAAGACTGAAGAAACAGTAAGATTGAAGTAAGAACTCTTTAGGATAGAGAAATCTGAGCATACCTTTAGATAGAGTGAAAACCCATCTCCTTACCAAGAGTTTGAAGATGCAAGCAAGCGGGACAGGAACATCAAGAGCGAGTGAAGGGACAGTGGTTTGCAGTGTACAAGGGACAGACACACATAGAGGGGGCCTTAGGGGAGCCCGCCAATTGAGTGCTGCAGGACTCATGTCCCAGGGTCCTTTGCTTCTAATGGTTAACTGAGAATTCAGTATCCCACGAATGTGAATAACATGTGGCATTTCTTCTAGGGCCTCCTTATTAAACAAAAGTGTCACATGTCTGCACTTGGCCCTAAATCCCCTTTGATGACACCATAGCCTGTCAGAAACTATAATCTATATTTGAAACTAGAACAACTGAAACTTATTTAAAGTATTTGTTGGAATGTAACTATTTCACTTATTCTACATTAGTCTAATTAGGTAGATTTTAGTGTAGGATTGAATATAATATTATTCCTCTTACGGTAACCCTGCATTTTCCTGGTCTTATTTACTAGGCCCAGAAGGACTTGGTTTCACTGTGGTCACTAGAGACTCTTCCATACATGGTCCTGGTCCCATTTTTGTGAAAAACATTTTACCAAAGGGAGCAGCAATAAAGGACGGCCGCCTGCAATCCGGGGACAGAATTTTGGAGGTAAGAATTGAAAAGAATAACTTCAATAAAATATATAAGTACATGAACATATATATTAACATTTAAATTTTGAATAGAATATATTAAAAATCATTACTTAAATACAAGATAAAGACTTTAATTATAAAACTCGTTAATAAGCAGGCTAACTTTGTAAGCCCCCAATGAGACCAGTGATATGGGGACAAGTTACACTGAGAACTTTTCTCAGTCTTCTTTTTCTTAGTTTCACCTCTTAGGGTTTCTGGGGGATTTGGATCAAATTTAGGAGTTCCTTAATTAAGGGTAAGAATCTCAAAGTTACACCCAAGCCCTGGTAACAATTTCTTTAAATTTCTTTTAAAAATGGGGCAGCCTGTCTCTGGTTGATCTATGCTTCTAGAGGAGAATTTGGAATTACCCAATGCAAGAGGCTTTTTTTTTCCTCATTTAATTTTGTTTGATAGCATCATCTCCTCATCTCCTTGGCAAATATATATTGTCAGCTTACCGTTCAGGAAATCAGCTTTGTTAAATGGAACTGCTGGTTCCATTTAACTTCCTCATGGCACAGAAGCAACACTACATAGCTCTGTAGGCAGTTCTAGATCATGAAAATAGATGTACTGAGTGACACCACAGCTGCAAATGAGAATTCCCAATCATCTATGATGACCTGATGACTGTAATTTTCCAAACATGGAGAACGCTGTAAGAAAAGATGCTGTTTCCAGAGAAATTTGCTACATGATAATAGTCCATTTCTGCTTCCTGCATGAGGCAGAAAATGGTGCCAGCGAAGCATTTGCAATACACTTCCTTCTTACTTGAAGAATCGTTCTCTGGTAACTTTCAGTTTGGTTTTCCCCTCATAAGATTGTAAGGTCTTAGGAGAAACTGCTCACATTAATTACTGGCTCTCCAACACCTTAATGAATGGTGGTTGGTGTATTATTATTATTTTAAAACATGGTTGGTTTGGGTTCAGGTGTTCACTACTCATGACTTCAGATCTTCGTGGATTGTGGGGAGTCCATTTGCTGCTTACTTTCAAAAACCAATTAGGGTAGAAGGAGATGGCAAGTGTTGTAATCACGATGGCTCTTATGATTGTCTTCATCAGGTAAATGGCAGAGATGTCACTGGCCGAACTCAGGAAGAGCTAGTGGCCATGCTGAGGAGTACCAAGCAGGGAGAGACGGCGTCTCTGGTCATCGCCCGTCAGGAAGGACCCTTTCTGCCCCGAGAGCTGGTAATGTTCAGACAAAGCTAACTGAACTCAGGAAACTCCTAACATCTAAGGAGGACATCTAAGTCCCAGGCTTCATTCACACCCAGAGCGCTTTGCTGCACTTGGAGTATCTCAGTTTTAGGTTGTTAATGCAAGGAGATGGATACATGCTGCTTACTGGTGCAAAAGACCTTTTTAAGGAAGCAAAACAGTACTCAGCTGAGTAAAATCTACATTCAGTACAAACTATGCGGTAAAACACAGATCGCAAATATGCCAATGGCCCCGCCTTACTGCAGTGTGCAGTCTAAAAGGAAATACAAATATAAGATATTCAAAATGGTGATGAAGAAGACTGTTTAGTGTTGCAGTAACATATAACAAGGGAATTTGACCTAGTCTTGAGGGTTAAGAAAGATAGCTAGAGGGAGAGTATTTCAAGTCTTATTAAAAATGTATACCTTTTGACCTTTCAAACTGTACCTCTGGTAATCTCTCCTAAACTGGTTAGCAAATATGTGGGAAACATTTGTGTCATTTATTTTTTTCCTAAGTTCTATTTATTGTAGTGATATATTGTGTTCTATACAACCATAATGTATTGGTTTGGTAAATACCTGGATGCTTCTAAGGAAATATAAGTACTTTGAATAGTGTCTGTGAAGAATTGCTAATAACATGAGAAACGTTTATAGTATATTGTTAAGTTAAAGACCAGTGTATAAAATGATCTATGTAGTATGATCAAATTACATTTAAAAATCTGTTTTAAAAAAATAACTGAAAGGAGATGTACCTGAATAGCTTGAATTATGAGAGAATTTTATTTTCTCACTTTTTTACAATAAACACAAGTTATATATTTTATTATTGATATATTTGAAAAGGCTATATAGAATCTTCAAAGGACTTTTTATGGCTAATAGCAAAGAGGAATAGATGTGATAAGAGGATTTTTATTACCCTTTGGTTTTTATTTTATTTCCTTTGAATCTATATAAGAAATTACAAAAGCACATATGCGTAATATAATAGGTTCCCAGAGTTAGATCAACAGAGGGCTAGTAAAGAAAATTGAAAAAGAAAAAGTTTAGGACGTATCATAATTGTTACCAGATATGTGAAGAGTCATTGTATAGATTTGAAAGTAGATAGTTTATATTCATTAATTTACTTTTGCATTAAGTTAACAATTTATTGAGCATCTGCTGTGCACTAAGTAGGAAGTTCTGGGGATGCAAAAATAAAACTCATGTTTGCCCTTAAAGGAGGTAGGGAGTGCTGTCTTTGTGGTTTATGCCACTAATTTTTCTTCCTTTTCCTATTTCCCTATAAATCTTCCCAAAGCATACAAGGCAAAGAGACGAATGTATAAGATGATGGGAAAGAGAAGGAATAATTGAAAGGAAACCCCTGCCACAAAAATGTTGCTGGAAAAGCAGTCTTTTGGCCGGTAATAATGAGCATTAATATATAAGAGAGGTGATTCAGCAAGGCTATCTATTCAAACATGAATATAAACTCATATACAGAAGATTAGGCTCAGAGTACATATCGTAAAGATTATCTAGTCTGATCACCTTAATGTGAGGATTTTTCCTGAGAATATCTTAGGCAGATAATGAGGCAGGCTCTGTTCCAATATTCTATATGGCCCATTTCCTTCTTGGACAGCTCCAATAGTTAGAAAGTTCTTGGAACATCATCACTTCCAACTACTTGTTTTGGTACAAACTCAATAAGGACAAAGGAGGTGGGAGTGCTGACTTTGTGGTTTATGCCACTAATTTTTCTTCCTTTTCCTATTTCCCTATAAATCTTCCTAAAGCATACTACAGGGGAAAGAGACAAATGTATAAGATGATGGGAAAGAGAAGCAATAATTGAAAGGAAACTCCTGCCACAAAAATCATGCTGGAGAGGCAGTCCTTTCCCATCATCTTAATTAGTGGCATAAACCACAAAGACAGCACTCCCCACCTCCTTTCCTCTACTTGACTCCTATAGCCAAGCATTTTGGAAGAAGAATCGGGAATTTTTATCTCATCTCCTTGCTGAAGCTTCTTACTTTTCCTAAAGAGAAATGCTGAAGAAACTTGGTGTCTAAATCCCGCCCTAAAATTTAGATAGATTTTTCCTTTGATCCTTTATTTATCCCAACATCTGAATCTTTTGCTACAAAAGTTGAAGTGGAAAGAAACAATAAAAAGGAGGCTGCATGGATACATGACAGGAAGCCCTTCACTTCCGGTCTACTTCTTTGGTTACTGGAGACAAAAACTCAGAAAACCTCAGTGGGGTTAGGCAGTACGTGTTTCAGGGACAGGAGAATAAGAAAAGTTTTATCTGTGTCTTCTGTTGAATAGAGTCCTGGAAGAAGCAAATTCCCATATAGAAAGAGAAACTTCCCAATCACCCTCTGTGCATGCAAAAGAAACCAATAACAGAGCTCCAACTGGAAACTCAAACCCTCACATGCCCCTGATTCCCTAACAGTCCCTATGCCTTCCCCTTTCCCATGCGTCCTCTAACGTTCCCATTCCCCACTCCTACGTCCTTCCTATAAGCTCCCTCTTCCACCAGGTAAGGGGGGAAAGGATGTTGAATCTATCCCAATTTGAAACTCTGAATACATTTTCACTCAAAGGCAATTACATGTGGAATGTAGTAAATGGAATAATAGAATTTTGAGACAAACAGGAGCTGGAAGAGTCTGTGAGTCCAGCTCTAATTTTCAGTTGAGAAAACAGGTTCTTTGTTATTGAGTAACCTGTGTAGGTCCCCACAAGAAGCAGGAACTAGAAGCCTAAGTTTCTTGACATGTAGTGTCATCTCTGGCGTTCAACTCCCTCCCCTCAAAGTCTGTATTCCGTGCTTACTGTGTGATCTAGAGCTGGTCACAATGCCATTCTGAGGCTCACTTTCCTCATCTGTACCCTCAGATTTTTGTAAAAATTATCAGAAATAATATATGCAAAGCTTTTAGCCTACTTTATGGCCCATTATAAGTTATTGATGTATGTTAGCTATAATTATTTCTTCTTGTACATTGCTACTTCTGTAGCAGTATTAACATAATACTATACTTTAGATTCATTGTGGAGTAAATAAATGTAGCAGTTTTGCCTAGAATTAACCACTATTTCAAACATTGATATTTTTTATTATTTTAAAATGTAATTTTGGTATCCAAAATACAGAATTGCAAACAAGTTTTATAACCAACCAAGTCCATAATTCAGGACAGCCTGCATATATTATTTCATTTTCATTTAATAGAATTTAGCAAAATTTGATTTCTATCCCAGAAAGTGACATCATAGCCCGAGCCCACCAGAGAACATATTAAATTAATTGTGCAACGACAAGATTGAGTGCAAATAAAGTATTTGTTCTCATTGTTTTTAGTTTTATACAAAATTTGGAGGGCATATGGTTAGTATCCATCCCCTTAGAATTCCCTGGCAAATCATCTCCACTCTTTTAAAAATATTTGACTTCTAACTTTCCAAGTATGTACAATATTCTTTGTAACCACAGCAAAGCAAGGGCAGTTGAGGCTTAGAAGGACCTAAGTAAGGCGGACCCAGAACCTTTGTTTAGGAGAACTATGGGAGAGCATCGTCTTTCCAACCCGAAGGCCTGCCTTAGGTGCCAAGGAGCATGAACCATGCAGCAAGTTGAAAGAGGGGTCATGCTTGGCATGCACAGGAGTGTTTCCATGGGAATGACTTCATAGTGTGGCATGCACTAGACTAGTTGAAAGAGCAAAATGAAGAACACTGTCCTTTGTGATAGAGCTTTGTATTTTCCTTCCAACTAAAAATTGAAGATGGTATCGCCTCGGCCTCTTCTCCCTTCTTGTGATTGATGTGCACACTTGACTTTCCATTGAAAACGTGGCAGGGTGAAGGAAGGACAGCACTTCCTGCTTTTGTCTTGTTCTATCTCCTTGGAAGACAACAAACTGTGTTTATTGTTTTCTTTCCTGAGAAGCTGCCCTCTCCCTTTTGTTAAGCCTTGCTATTTCAGAAGCTTGATACCCTTTCAGCGGCACAGCTCTGCCTGTTTTCTGACAGTGAAATCTGCCTTGTTTCCTTGTTATCACTAGCTTATTTTCAAGTCTTAACACTTACAGTCAGGGGACCGTGTGGTCAGCGGTGCTACAGGAAGCCCCGATATAGGATGGCCTCTTGGATGTGAGGCTGTCACGCCAAAAGGCCTTGGCATCCATTTCCTGGTCGTTTGTGCTGCCTGCCACATATGAGATGTGTGCTGAACATTGGCTGGGCCATGTCCTTCTTCCAGAGCTGTTGGCTAGTATCACAAATTTAGCAGCACCTACAGCCCACCTTCTTTCCATCTGTGGCAAGCTGGGTAAGAAATCAAATGAGAGGAATTTATGTAATAACATTACAACTATTTAGCTCTTCCTGGTATCTTTACCAAAACAACTGTGCATCTGAGATAATCCTTCCAGAATCCTTTGATCTCCTCTCCCCCTGACAGGGTGAGAGTTTATTAAAGAGGTGTTCACATAAGGAATATTTTTGCAGAAGGAACTTGGAGATTAGAGTTGGTAATAGAATCGGAGGGGAAACTGCTGTGTCTGCATCTGCACTTGAAATGAAAACTATGCTACTTAATCGGTGGTTTGTTTGGTCTGTTCAGTGACAGACTGGTCTACAAGTTCTTCTTCATCCCTGGGACCAAAATTTGTTTTATGTTTTTATGTTCATGCAAAGTGTGGGACAAAGCCATCTTTCCATTTAGGAAAGATCCTGAAAAACTGAAGGTTTTATCTTTATTCTTTGCCTTACTTTATTTTTTTAAGAGCTTCAGAGAGAGCATGCAATACTGTGTTATGTCCTATTTGTGCATGTATGTGTGTGTGTGTGTGTGTGTGTGTGTGTGTGTGTCTTCTTTCATTTCTTGAGGAGAAAGGAATATTCTGCCATTTCTTTGTTAACCTCTTTAACATTTCATATTCTGACCTACTGCCTTATCTTTAAATTATCCTG